ACAGACTGAGAGGAAATGAGTCACAGCAGGAGAGCTATCGCAATTCTGTGGCTCAAAAGCTCGTGATCAGAGGGTTACGACTTAGAGCCCGTAGGGCCTAGCAGCTCCGTGGTCTCCGCCCGCCCACCGCTGCAGTTACGTCCTGTCTGCGTCTCGTTTGTCTCCTATGCTCTCTCGCCTGCTCTCCCTCTCCAGCGCTCAAGGGAAACACCTCACTAAAAATGGCCATTATTCGATAGTATTCGTTTAATATTCTAAGACTTTATTTTTTTCAGTTTCGCTTTATTAGCGACCCATTTCACACCTTTGAAGAGCTGAAAAAGCATATCTCGAAATTTTGAATTTGGCCTAAATGTACGGGAAGGAACAGGAAACACTTTCCTTCGATTTCCAAAAGGTGTACTCCCGCAGCAGCAAAAATATGTACTTGAAAATTCCGAATTATTCTCGAATTCTGAAAGAAAAGTCCTGGTTTCCCTTTCTTCCAGACCTTTGTATCTTCGCCGCTCCTCTTATCAAGGATTGTCCATGGATCTACCACTGGAGAAATAAATTTGCTTGAAAAAATTGGGGTAAATTTCGAGACCACATCCATTAGAGAACCTTGTACAAAAGAAGAGATACCCTCTTTTTGAACTCACATTCACTCGTTTGTAAGCCAGCCCAGAAGACTCGCACCATATGTGAAGAAAGCAAGTGTACAGCCACGGTTCGGAATACCACCGGAAATCATCACATTTGAAAAAATGGTCGTGAAATTTCATCTTGAATTATTTCGGGGGTTGCATAGTACCTCTCACGTAAATCCTACCCTTAATTTTTTTTCGCTGGCTAGTTTGGCTTGTGCAAATTCACAAGCCACACTGCCCAAAGTTTTCAAAGTCTATGCAAAAAAATGTCAAAAAGCGGCAGGAACTAATGCAACCCCCTTGGCAACTAATTGATGCTTACTTTGAAAGGACCTTTACTATTTGTTTCCTTTGCAGCAAGAATGCCCGAGAAGTCGAGATCCTTGAAAGCGAAGTACTTATCTGCCAAAGGAGGACTGAGCAGCAGATGTCGATGAGCAAAACAGAGAGCTCCCAGGGAAGGCGAGGAGAACTGCTGGATCACGTACGATAGCAATGACCCATTCCTAAACAGGGAAACCATAGTAGAATAAAGTGGGCCAAGGGTTTATCTGGATTCAGTGCCGTAAAATCAAGTAAGCCTGGGGACCAGCTTAAATCTAATAGCACCCGGGCCAGCACCAAAAATTCCTCGTCTCATCTTATGGCTCACCTCGGCACAATGAGCTCATCGATATCGACCAACGCTCCAAATTCGCTACTAATCCGCGTCACACAGTCGTTGTGGGCCAGAGAATGCGCCAAGCGGTACAGCGAACGATTCGGATCGACATCTGAAGATCGTGGAAGTGCCGACCAGCTGACGATCGTCACAAAACCCTGTAAATCCTCACTCAGTTTTCATCTCTGGGACCACATGTTACCAAATATTCACCTCTTTTTCGTAATGTTGTAAAACTCGTCGAACTTCCTGTGTAGACGAATGATAATAAATAAAAACATGGCTGGCCCCATGTGCTCGCCATGCTTCGAGAAAGAAGATTAGCTTTGTCCAGTCGGTAAACCTGTATTTTTTACTTGTTTGACTGCAAGAACATATTCAGGTAGCCTAAATTCCTAACGTCATTGTCCACGAAGATGGTGTTTTTTATCCAACCTAACTGTCCCACTCAAATGAATCGTGCAAATAAACCGCATCCCATAGTGTGTTTGAGTCCATTGTTTCTCTTTAATCTAGGAAGTTAAACTCCGCCCTCTGGCCCCGCCCTCACCCGCCTGTAGAATGCACTCGAAAATGGCTTTTACTGACACCACGTAACGCAAAGTATAAGGTACGCTAAAGCTACATACCCTCTACGACTACGGCTACTTGATAAACCTCGCCCACTCGCGTATCACCAGTGTTATGCCCTTACCAACTCCGCCCCTACATGCATGGAATATTTGCTCGAAATTTCTTGCAACCATAGCAATTGTATCGAGGCAGTTGTACCTGAAGTGAAGGAGGGGCGTGTCTGGACGAGTTCCCTCAACTTGCTTGCTCCATCGCTCTATTAATCCGCTTGGTTTTGCAGTGAGGGGAACGAAATTCACATGTCGTGATACAAGATAAAATTGTGTAGGTCGAAGCGAAGACTCACATACAGAGGAGGCACGCCAGACCAGTCAATGTTCCTCGGGTTATGAGAGATGGCCGGTGCAATGGAAGATGTAAACTGATACCGTTTCTTGATAATGTTATCTAAACAGTGGAACTGAAAGCACGATTAAGGGCGGAGCCTTATAATTTGTTAAAAAAAGTTGTGAGAACAAACCACACACTCAACTCACTTGGGAACCATGAAGCAGCAACCCGCAGATTAAAACTGGTGGGTAAACAGCCGATCGATAAATGCAACTGAGTTGCCAAGATGCATTACATGAAAAAGAAGCCATGCACATTACGTTCGAATGAACAAGAAATACCCGGTCCATCCCCGAAGTGTAAAGAGGGGCGCTGTCCGGGCTACGTTTCTTCAGCTTACTCGCACCTTGGACTCCAATCCATGGCTCCATGGCTGCACTCACCTGCGCTACGTCGGAATCCACGTTGGGTCGTGGGGCGTGCGCGAGGTACTCGTAGGTTAGCACATTAGCCGTAGCTAACTCAATTTGTAAGGTCCTAGCTATTTCCGCGCACTTTCGAGCCGGTACAGCGGCGCAGCTGTGATACTCGTGGGCTTCTGTGTCCTGCCAACAGAGTAGGTTGCTCAACGCACCTCATTAATGGCGTTGTTTTAAACCCAATTGGCGAGACCAACTGAGCAACTGCCCCTCGCGAAGAACTGGGTACCTAACAGCCTGAAGAGCAATAAAAGGTGTGTGGGAGTCGAAACACTGTGGCCAACAGGAGAGAAATTACTCCTCTCACTGAAGCGCTTCACACTACATCCCTGCTAAAATTTGCACAAAAGTCCGAGTCCACCTCTAAACTAACAACCCTTTTGTAGAGCCGTCATGTGATTATTTCTTGCATACATTCATATAGCATAGTACCCTCCTCCCAACTCGCTCCCAGTAACCGTGCAAGTGCCACGGTACCCGAAACAGGGGCGGTATTCAATCCTTCCCCCAGGGGGATATATCCCCCTCCTCTGATTCAATCCTCTGGGGGGACAAAAAAGGGTTGCGTCATAGGACCTAGCATACCTCTGTGTTTCTACCTGCCAGACAGTTAGAGCAGCGCTACTACCCTCCACTGATGAAGCACTCTTTCCCCTGAGGGGTCGCGCTGCTCTAACTGTCTGGCAGGTAGAAACACAGAGGTATGCTAGGTCCTATGACGCAACCCTTTTTTGTCCCCCCAGAGGATTGAATCAGAGTAGGGGGATATATCCCCCTGGGGGAAGGATTGAATACCGCCCCTGGTGCACATTTGGCTCAGCGAGCAATCTGCTGTTTCGAATCCCGCTTGGGCGGAGTCGCCCATAACTGAGCAACTGTGAAGCTTACGCCACGCTCGCTGCGGCGCTAACAACAGCTAACACCAAATAAGTCAGAAATTATTGTCAGTAGAATTTCTGAGTGCTTACCCTCTTTGCAGAGGTGGCCTCCTTCAGTGAGGCGTGAAATACATAGGAGTTTGTACAAGCATCCTTTCGCCCAACGCCATGGGCAGTGCTTTTCAACAGTACGCATTCTTTGAAAAATCAAGCTCTCTCATTGACCCATCTCCATATAACCTCCCAACTCCAGTTGAAACATCGATTTATTGACAACACTCGGATTGTTTTGCTACAAAGCAATTGTGTTTATAGTTGTACCCACCGAAAGGACTTAAAGGCATCGTGCATGGCAAATCACTGTCTTACCGTAAGCATACAAATTATTGAATGCAATTAGAGAAATGCTATACGAAGTTATTACGAAAAAAGTATTGAAATTTTTGAAGTAATACATCTTAAGCAACCAGATCGGACAAATGCTGGACACATGGGTGGGGTGTAGGACGTGATCCTCCTCTATATATATAAAGCAGTAACTTGGTGTGTCTGTCTGTTTGTAACCAGGGGCGGGGCTTACGCCGAAATCCCTGTTGAAAATCCGTATGTAGGCCAAGGGCTCGAATAAGGTGGGAAATCACAGTATTGATTGGCTGCTGTAGTAAAACTGGAATTTCATTGGGTGGCATGCCATCGATCGATATCGATCGAACATATTGGTCTTTGCGCACAGGGCTCCGAATCACAGTACTGTTTGGGGGCAGCGGTCAAAGTAGAAATTTCATCAGGTCACACGACACGATGCGCTCATATGATCTGAAAATACTCGCTCTTCTTGTGCAGAAGGCCTCTATTAAGTCGAAAGTCACGTTGATTGGGAGCGGTGGTCAAAGCAGAAATTTCATCGGGGCACATGATGTCGGTCGATGTCGAATCATTGCTCCATAGGAGCGCTAATTTGATACTCCCGCTGACTGGGGCATTTGTCACATTTTTGAAGGTCGCCATTCCTTCCGGGACCCGCTGCCTCCACCCACAGCGAATCCTTGAGAACCCCAAGCGTTTGAATTCATTGCCATCTACCATTTCCTCAGTGCGGAGCGGGGAATCGTACGCATTAGGTGTGAGGGGATGGGCCAGTCACTGACATGCGTGAAAAGCCGGAATGATTTCGTTTCCACTGTGTTGAACCATCACGCTTCCGCGAGGCGCTGCCCCCCCCTCGCCTCTCATTCCGAGCCCATTGAGCAAAAACAATCTTGTGTGGTGGGATAAAAGGAATCCGTTTCGTTAGAACACCTCGCATTCGAAGCGTACACTTCCATTACGGGAGTTTCCCTGAAAGTCCTACGCCCATTCCAGACAAGGAGTATCAATTCGATCGATCGATAGCACATGACACGAAGGAATTTCCACTTTTTCTAATCAATACTGCGATTCCTAACCCCAACGGAGCTCTCTGCGCAAAACCGATATTTTCAATCGATATCGATCGATAGCACGTGACCCGAAGGAATTTTCCACAGCACCCAATCAATACTTGCTATATGACGTGTGCGAATGAAGAAATGCCCAAACCAGTCGCATCGCCTGGCTACGCCGGGCATTCCGACTCCAAAAAAAGAGCAGAGCCCGGCGTAGCCGGGCGATGCGACTGGTACACCATAAGTGACGATGGCCTCAAAGTAAATCTGGTTAGTACCGGTTCATAGTGATAGCTGATTCTGTGGTAAATGATAGTTGTAATTAGTGAGAACTAAGTGAGAATTTTGTGAAAGGCGTCGTCATTTGTGGTGTGCGTTCTGCAGCCGACGCTCTTCTCGTTTTCTGAGAGGGAGGGAACCTATGTTCCACTTTCTGTCTGATCCCTTTTTCAATTAAAATGAACGCACTTTTTGTCTTTTCGTGATCCACGTAGGCTTCTGCGGCCTACCATACCAATTTCCAGGTAGGGCGAGGTCAAGCGATCCCATGCACAATGCCTTTAAGTCAGTCACTACAGTACATATGCTAGTACCTGTCTAGCAAATACGCTCTATATATGAAAAGAGTTTCAGGAGACAGTTCGGTAGTGAACAGGTGCGTAACCCTAAATCATATGGAATATCTTATCAAAGCCGAAGTATGGTAATTTGCAAGTCAAGAACTTACTGCGCTTTTATGGTTTTAGTAATAGGGCTCAAGTAGTAAAGTATCATGAAGCAAAGGAGTAGCACTGCACCAAAGAGGAAGGGATGATGTTTAATTTTCTGCAAAATTTGTTCACAGGGAGGCAAAAGGATTTTTAGGAATAATTCACTATCACAGATGTGAAAAAAACCTTTCTCGGACATTCGATCCTTTGGGACGTCGAGCACGATCGACCACATCCACACGGTTATAGGACTCATTGAAGTTTCACGAGAGTACAAGATGCCGCTTTGTCTCACGTTCATCGACTTGAAGAAGGCCTTCGACTCTGTGGAGACAGAAGCGGTCATCGAAGCCTTGGGCAACCAGGGCGTCAACTTTACGACCAGAATCTCACCATTCTACAAGGAGGTCATCATCGACGTCAAGAGAGGGGTTCGACAGGGCGACACCATCTCGCCCAAACTCTTCAGCGCCGCTCTCGAGAACGTCATGCGTCAACTGGAATGGGAAGACATGGGAGTGAAGGTCGACGGCCGGCAACTACACCACCTTCGTTTTGCTGACGACATCGTTCTTATAACGCCGAACATCGAGCAAGCGGAGCGAATGCTGGCTGATTTCGACTGCGCCTGTGGTAAGGTCGGTCTACAGCTGAACCTAACGAAGACGATGTTTATGAGAAACGGATTGGTTCCTGATGCCCCATTCACGCTCAACGGAACGAACATCACCGAATGCTCCAGCTACGTGTACCTAGGTCGGGAAATCAATATGATGAACGATCTAGCTCCAGAGCTGAGCAGGAGGAAACGAGCGGCTTGGGGAGCGTATAAGAACATCGAGGGAGTAGAAGAAGAGAAGAACATCCGGCTCCGTGCCCCCCTCCGTCGAATTCCTTGCAGTCCTTCGCCTGCCTTCAACATAAATACGCCTCCAGAGACTTGAACACTTGCGCGGCCAGGACAAGCATTATGCGGTCAGCGTATCCGGCGCGGTTGTCCGGAGAAGAGCTTGGAGTTAACCCTCTTTAACACGGTCCAGCCAAGTGCAGAAGGGGAACCAGAGTTCCGAAGTGCGCCAACGGTCGAAGATCAGGGCGGTTACCGACTGGATCCCTCGGGACGTCAAACGAACACCTGGACGACCGCCGGCCCGATGGTCAGACTTCTTCACGAAAGCTCTGAACGAAAGGAATGATGGACTTCGTGTCCCTCGAGCAAGGAGGATCCACTGGACCACCCTAGCACGCGACAGGGACGAATGGAGACGTTGCTGGCGCCCGCTCGAGCAAATCGACGATCAACGGGACGACAGGTGATACAGGTGATACAGGATGCCCTTCGTAACATACTACAAGACGTTATACGAGTGGCGTAGCACATTCCTCGTTTGATAGCATTCAGTCGGAAGGAGTACTGAAGCGAATCAAGGGAAAAGAAAATTTATACCCAAGCAATCACATATTTTTCTGCCGCAATTTTGACAAGTGTCAGATTGCAAAAGAGATGCATTCAGTACGGTACATAGCGGACAGAAACACCACTTCTACCCACCACAACTCATTCTAAAAATAGTGGTAACTCAAATTCCAAATTCTACATTGGTGTGTGAATCGGAATGAGTTTCTGTGAATGGGAAGGAACAAGCGCCATCGCAATATGCGGAGCATACTCCAGGACTAAGCCTGGAAGAAGGTTAGAACTTTGAGGAAAATGGAAATAGCTCACGCAGTTGGAGTTTCTCCTACCTGCCTAAAGTTTAGCCCCATTTTTAAGGAGCTGGACAGCATGTCCCTTATCTTGTGATAGCGCCCTTATCACTCGAAGCAACAATCCAAGATCGGGTTCGTGAGGTAACAGCGGTTAATAATGATGGCAAGGAAAGCACGTCCTGGACGTGTTTTCCGAACAAAATCGTATCAATGCTATACATCTGTCATGTCTACAGTGTGTCCCAAAAGTATATGGACGCCCTATTTTTCTTCAATATCTCTATAATGGCGAATGATTTCTCTCCAAATTTTTGTCAACAATGCATTATTACCACGGTACAAATATATGGGTGAAATTGGAAAGAAAAAATCTTGAAGTTTTTTATGATTTTTTTCTGGAATCATGGCGTCCCAAAAGTATAGGGACACTTTGGCGTTCGATCTGGTCGAGCGATGTACTTGATGAAATCAATAATAAAAATAATGACAATAACAAAAAGCAGTAACATTTTTCATCTTTCGATAACTTGAATCATCCGCTTCGGCATGCTTTGGGCAAACCTTGAATCGTTTCCGGCGATATCTGCTCTCAAGCCTCCTTGACGGCGTTTTTCAGCTGTTTTTCGTTCTGGAACTGTCTGCAGTTGGCGTAAACGTCCCGTGCGAGTATGCCCATAGGTTCTCTATCGGATTCCAGTCAGGGGATTGTGTTTCTCTCTTGGAACCACTCCATTGTTGAGACACTTACATGAACGGCGGCGTTGTCTTGTTGGAATTTGAACTTAAAGGGTGGAAATCGCTGCATGTATGGTACCGAATTGTTTTGGGGGATGGTCCTGTAGCCACTGGAGTTCAAGCGTTGCGTGACAAAAACCAGTTCACTCTTACGAAGTGCTGTGAAGGCAGCTCAAACCGTGACATTACCGCCACCGAATCCGCGTCTGGAAAAGTAGTGTGGCTCCTTCCTCAAATCGCGCCAATAGCTTGCCAGGTTATCGGGTCCATTCAAATTAGACTTCTTTTCATCGGAAAAATTCACCTGGAGCATTACAGTGTGTGACATTACATGCGGAATCCGCCAGTGCAAAGTACCTCATCCCATTGACGAGTCCAGCCTACGTGTTCCTTTGCGAAGAAAGACTCGTGCTTCTTCATACGCACTCGTCAAACATGGCGTAGTCAAAAACTGCCTTTGAACGATGTGGGGACATGATTTGAGCACACGATGACCAGTACTTCTCGACACATCGGGTGCTACTTCCTTGCTCAGCCGCCTCACACCCTTTATGGAATTGGATGCAGCATAGAGAATTCGGCGCTTCTGCCTTTCCAAAACTTTCCTAGGTCTCCCGCTCCTTTTTTCGTACCGTAGGAGTCGATGTTGTTGCAGAATTTGCTCACCAAGTTGACCGATCGTAATGATCGAAATGCTGCGGTGGCGAGTCCCATATCCTTGTAACTCGAATTTGGCCTTTCTCAAAGTCGTTTAGGTGCATTCCTCGTGGCACGGCACTGTAGAACAGGGACCTGACTGTACAGTGCGTTTCATAACTATAAGGTCACCCTAAAATATTGCATTTCCGGGACCAGCAGCCAACTGGTGATTTTTCCACTATCACCAAATGATTCCCCACTATGAATAACCCCTGTATCGCAATTTTGGTGGGAGCAGCTTTTCTTCGAACTTTTTTGTAATTATTTTTCGATTTTTGCACCGTTTCATAATATAAGGTCACCCTGAGAAAAAGAACAATTACCTAAGATTAATGACAGATAAAATAGACATAATAATGTATGGTTCCTCCTTTATCAAGGCAACATTGAATAGTCTCCGTGGCCTACCGGAATTGAGATTCCAAGGCAGATCACCATCGATTCACTTCCGTGTTCAAGGGTTGCTTGTACACGCTCTTGTGTAATTTTTAACTGGCGTTTATCCGCACTATTACTCATGACGAAGATGCCCCTGAGATGTTCTACTAGAACACGACTAGAAATTCAGAAAAATTTGTTCAGTTCATCAGGGTTTCGAGAGAAATGCTGCTTCTGGTTGAATGTCTACATGGTTACCTATACTGTTCTGTATGACCACGTAGGCAAGGACGAGATCAGCTCAAGGACGAGGTAAGATGTCCTCTCAAGGCTCCATGCTAATCGGGAGTCCATTATGCAGTTCATGGCAGCGAAATTCTGTCACAACAT